GAATGAATGAAGGTCAGTAGTAGGAGCAGAGACTATTAGGAACAGAGGGCCCCAGTAAACTTTTCCCCAGGGGAGGAGGGACACCAGGCCCCAATCCATTCGCCCCTACACATCCACCTGACACGGATCTGGGACAGGTTCTTTGCCTGGGCGGGATAGGGATGACAGACTTTCCCCGAATGTGAAGGAGCTCAGAATGGCTGGAGAGAGGTGCTTTTTGTCAGCTGCCCAGGGTCACCAAATCCAGGTTGCAGCCCCAATCCTGTCACCCTTGTGAGTCCCTGTTGACAGGGGAGAAATTACTTAACCTTTGCAGCACGTGTAAGCTGGGGAAGTAAGCAAACTTCATAAGCATGGGCTGTGCACAGGGGCTTCCTGTACGTTGCCCAGCATGCAGATGGATTCAGCCAGTGCTGAAAGACTACAGGGTCATATTATGGTCCAGTCCCTTGCCCCCAAGTCTGATCAGGTAGGACCAAGCCAGGCTATTTCAGGACAGGCCACAATTTGTCCTGGATGCAGCTTGTGAGCTGCACCTACAGAGAGTGGGCCAAAGCAGGCTCTCATAGTCAATGACAGAAGAAAGGAAATCCACTTGCAGCCGCAGCAGGATAGGCACAGACGTGTAGAACTAGTCCTTGAAATTCTTTTATTTTGTTTTGGAGACAGAGTTTCACTGTGTAGTTCAAGCTGGCCTCGAACTCCTCAAGACTCTTCTGCCTCAACTTTTTGAGTGCTAGGATTACAGGTGACAGCAGCAGGTCTGCTCTATACCATATTGCTCATAGCAGCCCTCCAGCCAAGTCAGTGAGTGCCCTGAACCCAGTGGCTCCCTGACAGTTTGTTGGAGAAGTGAAATAGGGACAAGGGCATAAAATGACCATGTGATCTAGATTCAGAATGGCAGTCTATTTTGGAAAAATGTTTACATCTGTCCCATCTTGCCTGGGGCGAGGTGAGGGGTGGTGCACCATTTTCACCCAAGCTTGAAAAGGAGCTCTGAGCACCTATGCTTGGCTTCTTAAGCATGCTGATGCTGGTGCAAGTCTCTGTGGAGGCTGAAACCATCTACCAATGTGTGGCCAAAAACAGCTCAGGCTCCAACCTGGCCAGTGGTGGCCTAGCTGTGACAGAGGGCCCAGGGCTCAGGGCCACTCCCTATCCACAAAAGCCTGCTGCTGGCTGCTGCTGTCTCCACTCCTGCCGTTGGAATGATCTGTGAGCCACCTCCATTCAGAGGCACTGTCACTGGCTGTGCTGTACCTCCAGCCAGTGGGAGGTGGGTGTGGGATTCCTGGCAGGGCCAGGTGTCCCCAGGTCCAGCCCACTCAGCCCACTTTGGTGCCTGCTAGTCTTTCTCAGCCTAGACCCCAGGCTGTTCAGTGACCCTGACTCTCTGGGCTCTCCCCTGGCCTCTGGCCCTGTGGTTTTATGGGCCTGGAGCTCCAAGAGGCTGTGAGCAGAAGTAACTTTGAACATCTCTTCTCCAACCTGGAGCCTACTATGGCCCACACAATTCACCCATGGCCCTGCTCTGTAGAGGGCACCAGTCAGAACTCTGCTTCCATCCTCACCTCTACCCTGGGCAGCAGAGAATGACAGCCACTCTAGCCCTGGGGAACCCCTGACCTCAGGTGGGCAGGGGCTGCCACCCAGTTCACCCATCTTCCTCTATGGCTCCTGGTTCCCTGGGCTTTTCCACCAAAGTGCTCAATGCCACCTCTGTGTAGGTTCCTAGGAGCTGCCTCCAGCCAGGACCATTTAAGGATTCAAACTCTTCCACTGCAAACTGCCAGCTGTACATTTGGAGATGCCCCTGTTCCTGGCCAGTGGTGTCAGCTCTTTCCTCCTCCTCCACACGTATCTACCTGGGTAAAGTCTTGAACCTTCTTTTGCAGTCTTTTCTGCCTTCTTTTCTCCCTCATTCCCTTCCTTCCAGTGTGTGCCACTGTACCTGGAGTCCGGGAGCACTCATGCCACACATGGGTCCCCTTTTCCACTGTGATCTCAATCCACACACTAAGCCTCCCCCGGAAAGGCTGGCTCCCTTCACCTTCCCCAGCTCCCTGCAGAGTCAGCCACCCTCTAGGAGCTCAAGCTCCAGGCATCCAACAGCAGTGGGAATGGACACAGCACTACCTGCTTTGTCTCTCTGCATGGCATCCACTGGCCACCCCTGGCAAATGAGTCCACGAGGAGGGCAAAGCAGGTCCCTCTGATAGGCGCAGTGGCTGCCAGTCTCTAGGGAAGAGGCAGGGCTGGACTTGGCCTCTAACCTTGGTCCTCTAACAGAAGGTTTTGTGCCTGTAGATTCTCAGACTGGGTGCTCTTGTGGCCAGGGGTAGAGCAGCTCCCTGCCTGGGCTCATGATGAGTAGCCACATGGGGCTGGCTGCCCTCAATGTTTGCCTCCTCTGCCTTTCCTTGGCTGGAGATACAGGTAAGGGTTAATGTGGAAAACTGCTGTGGAGACAGCGCGCATCACTGTGGTACAGGACCAAGGGAACAGGAAAGAGCAAGCCTCCATTACCATCCGTGTTACACACAAGGAGACTGGGGATTCCTGGCAGGGGATCCAGTTCTCTCCTGAGCTTTGTGGTACCAGGGTGGGAGGAGAGCAGAGCAAACTGAGGCTCCCAAGGCAGAAGACAGAGGTGGCAGGAGTGGACAGGGCCAGTTCTCCCAACACCTAGCATCAGGGGGAGTGCCCCCCACCCCCATGCCCAGAGTGTGGAAGAGGTTGAAGAGTAGGGCAGTGCTGAGGTGAAGGCCCCAGACCCACCATGGCACTGAGCCCGTCTATCTAAGCAGCCTTCTTTGCAGGGGGCGGGGGCTGAGAAAGCTGAGCAGTGTCTTAGCCTGCTTTGGCCACAACTGGGGACTAGGACTGCAGTAGAGTAGAAAATGGAGCCCTTCACCCGGGCAAGGGGGTTCAAGTGGTAGGAGAGGAAGCTGTGAAGAAACCCTGGGACAGAAGTCTAAGTCCTCCTCCCCGTGTGACCTGGGAGCAGCCCTCAGAAGTGCATGGCTTCCAAATAGGCTCTCTTCGAGATGCTATCTTTAGACTAACAAAGAACCTATGTTACCTATTCCTGTCACCCCAGAATCAGGAAAGAACCAAAGGTTCCCAAACCCCTGTTGGGAAAGGGCAGGCCTGGTGACTGTAGAAGAGGGTGGGATTTTTCTGTTCCTCCTTCCACATCAAGAAATGGGAGAATCTGTACCCCCTAAAACTACCAATTAACCTCAAACTAAACCAAACTCAGCTGAGAGTTCTGCCATCCTGTTATCCTGTCTCTTAAACCCACTCAGTCCAAATGTCAATCTACCCAAGGATTTATGGCTTTAAGGATCCTCCCAAAGCAGGAGACTGGGCAAGGGGATGTCACCTCCTCCTTCTCACAGCTAGTCTGTCCCCTTATGCATGAGCTGAGCCTGACCAGGACCTTCTGTTCTGAGTGGATTGGGAAGAGGGGAAGCCTTTATTTCCCTTCCCTTACCCATCACCTAAGAGCCCAGGATATGTGAGCTCAAGCAAGCTGCTTCTCAAGCGATCAAATTCTCATCTCCCCTTGCCAGGTCTGAAGCACTGGCTGTTTCAGGGCTTCTCTTTGCTTTTATTCTTCAAGACAGGATTTCAGGCTGGCCTTGAACTCACTTTTGTAGCCTGGCTGGCCTTGAACTCTGGCAATCCTTCTGCCTCAGCCCCCCAAATGCTGAAATTACAGGCACCCCCTTACTTCGCACCCCCCACTTTGATTTGTATTTTTCTTTCCTTTTTATCGGTACCAGGGATCAAACTCATGACTGCCTCTTGCAAGGCAGGCACTTATGCCACTGAGCTAAATCCCCAGCCCCTGATTTGTATTTTTATGAGGTTTTGTTTCAGTGCTTTGGTGACCTTGAATCCTTACAGAACCACAGAGGCAGTGAGACACACTATCTCTCCTCAATTTCAGGGGCCCAAAGAGCATGGCTTTCCTACTCCTCCCTCTTCTAGCTCTTGGCATCCAGCAGCTTTCATTCAGGTCTTTTGCCTCCTTTAGTCAGCCTCTGTGTGCCAAGAAAGAGGAAAGAGCACCCAGGGCAGAGGGGGCCAATGTTGTCTCCTCTGTGCTCTGCAGGGTATCTGAGGTACCAATGATAATTCATTGGCTGGGCTCTGCTCCTCCACAGCTCCTCTGTGCAGGCGCAGCAGCAGGTGAGAGCAACCCTTTGAGGAAATGGCAGAGGGCTAGGGACACAGCTCAGCCGCACAGCGCCTGCCTGGCAAGGACAAGGTCCTGACTTCAACTTTTGGTACCAAAAGAAAAAAAAAGAAAATTGTGTCTGTTCTAGACAACCTAGCCAATCTAAGTGCTTTGCTGGGCAAAAAAAAAAAAAAAAAAGTGGAAAATGAAAATAACTAGTATCTGGTAAATGCTCTGTAGTTGAAAGGAAAACCTGGGGAGAAAGGTGATATAATGTGAGACGGCATGTTGACAAGTCACTCTGGGGAACTGCATTCAGATGAAGCTAGAGGCTGGGGATATAGCTCAGCGGGACAAGCACCTGCCTAGCAAGTATAAAGTTGTGTTTGATCCCCGGTACCAGATGGAGTTAGAGCCTGCAGTTTGCTGAAAGGAGGGTAGTATGAGCCATTTTGAGGCACCGCCTACAGAAACTACTTCCTAGACTAGCGCAGCACAATGAAAAGGGCAAAGGACACCTTTCCCAAGGAGAATGAAGGTGCAGCCCCCTACCCAGTATCTGTGGGCCTTAAAATCTTCAGAGAATTAAAGTGGGGCCAGTGGCTTTCTCGGTGCTATTAGTGGATGAGAATAACGACACAAAACTTGAAGGATTTTACAGGACCACTACCATCATCATCAAAGGGCCAACCCAGCAGCAGTCCATCTGTGCACCACACCACCATAGACACCTCCCCCAGTCACCCCTGGACCTTCCCACCACACAGCCACCCCCAGCAATGCCATGACTAAAGCACAAGGAACTGGAAAGTTTAGAAACCATTCCTTTCTTTATTAAACATAGCTTGCAAGTGATAAATATTACAAAGTTTTTTTTCTTTTAATCCTTTCTCCAAAAATTAGCTTATTATTAGAATCTCACTGCTGAAATGCTCAGCAGCATCTGAAACAGATGGGAGTGTATTTGCCTTTTTGAAAACCAGTTTCTATTGGTCTTAGTTTTTTCATTTTATTTCCCAAACACAATGCAGAAAATTAGAATGAGTTAAAAAAGGAAGAAAAAAAAAAAAGAAAGCAAAGAAAAAGGAAACTTAAAGAGTTGTGCAAAAGGGTCTTGTTCCCCACCCACCCACCCTGTTCAGGGAAGGCTGTTCTCCATCCCACCTCCCCATTCCCACCCCTCTAACCTTCAGGTCAGGGCTCATCCCCCATTCTGCACCCTCCCCAGGCTTCACCAGCCAAGAACCTCAAGAATGGGAGTACCCAGCTTGGGCAGTGGGGAAACTGGGCCCCTGAGGGAGGCAGACTATGAAACAGCTGTCTTGGGGGGATTCAGATAAGATCTGGGGGAAGGAGAGATGTGGGCTGTATCTGAGCTCTCCTATTTTGTCACCAAGAAGATGGGAAGTTCCACATTCTGTAGCTCACAAAGGGAATAACTAGACCACCAACTGGGGAATTTCATGGGTTGATCACACTTCTTGAAGGCTTTGATTGGTGGTGAGAGGGCTTGAGGCCTGGCCCCTGACCTCAGATAACCAGAAATATGGAGACAAAGATGTAACTGGTCTGACATCCTAAATACTGTCACCTCTCCCAAGTCCATAGTAGAGGATTATTCAAGGGCACTGTCATAGATCCATTTTATACTAATTCCTTTCATTTCCTCCCCAATTTTTCAACGCTACAATCCCTTTACTTCAAGCTGTATTTTGTTTTCAAAAGGTGGGGAAGTAAACAAAGAATTTTACTAAATGGCCAGATGACTTCACAGTCTCACTTACCTCTGTTACTTCATAGTTTAGAAAAAAACTCCAACTCAGAAAATAAACTACCAAAGATAACACCAATATATTAGGAGACTTCCGGTCTCCAAATTGTGCCCTTTTGTACCATTGGTATTTTCCAGTCCTGGGCCAGGAGCCCAGCCCCACCTAAATTTGTGCAGCCTCTAAGGATGCAGACAGCTGGAGCTCTTGTTAGATGAGACCTCCTTATGATGACTTAGAAAACTCTTTTTCTACCATCCCCTGATAATACACCCTCAAAGGCCCACAAGACTAGGTTTGTTCTTTTGGAGGGTGGGGAAAATCCCTTGCATAAGAAAGCTTGACACTGAATTTTGTTATATAGGTATATTGTATATATGCTGATGCAATCAGAGGGGAAAAACAGTGCAAATACAATTACAATTCATAATAATACTTGGTTTCGATGCCCCCGGGAACTGCCCCATTCCTCAGCTACCTCCCAACTCCCAGCACGTCCCCACATATCAACCTAATGCTGGGGGGCAGGGAGGGGGGGCAGGTCAGGGTAGGGAGTGGGCTCTGCCAAGGCAGTGCTGGTGACCTGGAGGGTCTACTCCAGGGTGGGGAGGCAAGGCACAAATTAGGGGTGGGTGGTGGGGGAGGTGGCATCTCTAAGGAGGGATGGGGTTGGAGCAGCTGCCAGTCTCAGTGTGCTGGGCCCGGCCCACTCCCCTACCCACCCTCCACAGCCCTGCCTCCCTACCCCCTCCCCTTCCCCAGAAACCCTTTTGCACGGATCATACACAAACGGGCACATTACAAAATGACGTAACACAGTTTCACAATATCCATGGCTAGGGCTTTTTTTTTCTCTTTTTCAGTTTTTTTTTTTTTTCTACACAATGTACAATTCCTTTTAAATGGATCAAGAAATAGCTTATATACACGAATGAGTCCTTGTTATAACATCTCGGCAGCAAGTATCATAAGCTAATGAAGATCTTGATGAAAGGAAGGGAGCCTGGGACTGGGGCGGGTCAGGGATGTAAGCAGGGTTATGCCTTCTGGAGGGATGAAGGGAAAAGGGAATGGTTGGGGGAAAGGAACAAAAGTAAAATACCAAGAAGCATCTTTACAAAGCAGTTCTACAGCTAATTCCTTTTAAAGGGGAAAGGAAAGGTAACCAAAGCAGGAAAACATTTGTCTTTAAAAAAGAAAAAAGAAAAAAGGTCTACCATACATATATCCAAAAGGGGGAAAAATGTGGGAAAAATACTTATTCCAGCAATGGACAGTCCAGATGCTGTGGTTAAGTGACAAAACTGACAAATAAGGACCTTTGTCCCCCAGTTTTACCCAAGCCTTGCCACTAATTCACCCACTTCAGGTTTCTAGGGAGAAAGACACCACCCATGAGTAACTATTTTAGTGCCTCAGGGTCTGGAGAAAGCCAGGCAGAACTCTCTCAATATGCCCAGAATGAACGCTTCGGGGCAAAGAACAACTCTGAAGACAGGGGTTTTCTTCCTATCCTCAGGACATGAGGTTAGTGTCTACCGGGCTCAAGGCCTAGAGAACATAGTGATAACAGACCTGGAGGGACAGTCAGTGATGAACACTAGAGAATGGAGGAGGATGGAAGGGGAGGAGAGAAGGGAAGACAGGAGGTGGGAGCTAACACTTCATCATGATTAAGCAGCCCTCACTCCAGTACTAATCCCTGGGTAGGGTATGAAGATGGGGACAGGAGAGTAAGAAATTAAGCCTCAGTGATTGAGCAAAGGGTCACAGAGCTATACCAGTCAACAAACAGCTTCTATGTGAATGACCCCAAGGAGGTAAGAACAGGGACGATTTGCCCTCTCCCTCATGCCCTCAGCACCTGAGCAGGCACTAGACTGTGGGCTTTCCTTCCCCATCACTCCCTGTCTATGAATCTTACCTCCAAATCCCATTCAAGGTTGCCTGGCTCCCAGGGAAGGGGCTCAGCTTAGGGCAGGGATAGCCCCCAGCTAGACGGTATTGCACATTCTCTGTTCCTAATTTGTAATCTCAACTGACAAACCTCGGCACCTTGTACCTCTGAGCACCTCTGAGCTGGGGGTCAGGGAGACTTAACAGAAATGGCACTTTATCATGGGGAGGGGGAAGCTAGACAGACATGCCACAAGGCAAGATGACTTGTAGGAAAAACATTTAAAAAAAGCTTCCAATTTTGTGGAAGAGAAAAGGAAACCAAACAGTTCATCCAGTGCTTTCAAAGCACAGAGGGCAAAGAAAAGATGTAAGAATATATCTTTATATATATATATATATATATAATTTTAAAATAACCCCAGACCCAGTTCCATTAACCCCCCCTCCCTTTCCCACTTACAGTCAGGGGTACCACATTCCCCAAAAATACTTGAAACGACCCGATCACTACCTGTTACTAGCGTCTAGGTTCCAGATCATTTCACCACTCAGGGAGCCCAGACACTGGCTGCATCTCTGCTCCTTTATTAAGTGCTCAATGAATTTGGGGGAAGGGAGGAAAGAAAACAAGCCAGGAAGGCCCGTAGGGCCAGTATAATCACCCACAGTGGGACTGGGGTGTGGGGGGAGTAGAGGTCAGAGGATGGAAACTAAGCCCAATTTCAGCTCCTTCTCCTGACCTACCCCCAAATTTTATGAGAAAGATGTGCAGTTTGTGTGTGTTAATTTTAAAAGTGCCTGTTTACTTTAAAAAAATTATTTAATTTTTAAAAAATAAAAATGAGGGAACTTCCTCAGGTGGCTTTCAAGGGCAGAATATTAAACAATTCTTCATACCTCTGCTAAGAGTAACCCCAGTGCACTCTGACAGCTTGTAGAGTTTGAGAAGCAGGTAGGTGCTGTCCACACTCCTAAGAGAAGTCCTTCCCTTCAGGGAGCTTCCTTTACATCAAAAACAGCCTAGTTGCCTCCCTCCTCCCCCAGTGTGAGCAAATGGGATGCTGATCTCCCTAATCCCCAGAACAGCAACATTGCACAATTCATTCTCTACATTAGTAGCACTTAAGAAATTAAAAATAAAGGAAAACAATAATCAAAATAGAATTCTGGGGGTAGGGAAAGAAACATTTGTGTAGCAGAGTTCCAAAGCTGGATGTGACATGAGGGGTCTGGCCTTGGGCAGCTGGTTCTTCAGTCAGTGTCTCAGATAGGGCAAGACTACACTCCAGTTCTCTCAGCCGCTCCAGCAGGAGAGAGGACAGACAGACACTAGAACTGCAGCCACTGAGAGAACTACTTCTATTCCTCCTCTGGTCACTGGTCTCTCATACCCATGCCAGCTTCTAGAACCCCAGCAAGCTCAGCCTATAACAGCTATTCCTCTGTGTCATAGATGGGGCTATGGCTAAAAGAGGGGAGAACACCAGGATTTCTAAAAAGGGAGTGACAGTGGAATGTGGGACAGTTATGACAAGAAAACAAGATAAAACAATTTGGGCTAGTGGGCCTGGAGTCGATCCCCTGGGGTCAGGGGGACCATTCTCACTCCTCTCCATTCAGAAGGCCAGGGGCCAGCCTCAGTCCTCCTTGGCTCACCATTATGCTCCCATCACACCTCTTTCTGCCCCTCTCCCACAGGTGAATTCTAGGGTGGTTGTTTAAAGCTTCTTCCTCCAGACTTTTTCCCCTCATCCTCTGAGCCCAATTTTAACACTAGAACACGGCTTTTCAAATGTGCAGCCCCAAAACACCCACAGCTGAGGTGCTGCTCCTTGTTTGGTGACATCCATCCAACAGCTGAGGTCAACTGCATTCTAAACCTCTGCCCCTAACACTCCAGTCATGTCCTGCTTGGCAGCTGAGACCCTCCTGTAATCTGCAACACTCCCATCACTGAACTCAATGTCATTTGCATTAAAGAGAGAGAGAGAGAGAGAGAGAGAGAGAGAGAGAGAGAGAGAGAGAGAGAGAGAGAGAGAGAAAGTAAGAAAGAAAGCAAGCAAGAAAGAAAGCAATGAAAAAGATTGAGGGGGAAAGACTTAACCGTTCACTGAACAAAGGGAGGACATACAATATAATTAAAAAGAATAATAATTATAGCATAAAACAAACTTTAGAAACACATGTCAAAGGGTTTAAGATTCTCCCAGGACCTCATCCTCACCTCTATCAGAGGCAAAGATCCACTTCAATGTTAAAGAAAACCGAAGAGAGAAGATAAATCGGCAGGAGAACAGATCGCAGCAGTGTGAAGTAAAGGGGAGATGGCGGGGCATGGCGTTGTGTTTTCTTGTTGATTTCTATTTTTTGTCTTCTGTTTTTCAGTTTTGCTTTCCGTGTATGGTAGGCACTGCATGCGACGGAAGTTGGGGCAATGGGAGAGAAAAGGGGTAAAGGATTCAAGGTAGGGGTGATGCAAGTGGACCAAGCGTTATTTCTGTCCACTGATGGACTGCGATATAGACCGAGGAGGGATCATGTCTAAAAGGTATTCACGCTGTCGATCTGCCAAACTGGGGGCTTTGTGTCCTCCGATGCCAGTGTTCAAGTATGCAATGTTGACACCTGGACCAAGGAGACAAAAGTAGAGGGGAAGGATTAAAAAAGGAAATGACCTTACTATCATATCACCCTGGGGCTGCACAGTAGATAGGGTGGAAACAGGAGACACTACCTACAGCTATGAAGACTCAGCTAACTCTGTTTCAGCAGCTATTACCCTTCTACTTCCAAGCTTTTGGAAAAGCGGTCTTTCCTGAAATTTCAATCCTACCATGCACAATGAGCACAATGAAAGAAATGCGGTGAATTGGCTGGGCATGGAGGTGCATGCCTGTAATCCCAGCACTCAGGAGGCTGAGGCAGGAGGATCATTGTAAGTTTAACACCAGACTGGGCTACAAAGTGAGCCCAAGGTCAGCCTGAATCACATAGCAAGACTCTGTCTCAGAAAAAAAAGAAAAAAGACATGTCAAGAGTGTGTGGTATAGTGAGAAAAAATGTAAAGACAAAGGGATATAAGCATCAAATCTCTTCTAATCTGGGGGCCACAGACTGTGGAGAAGAACTGAAGAACCCCTGGATGATTCAAACAGGACACAGGGTGAGCCTACTCTGAAGTCAGGACAGGGTGGACCTGAGCAATACCCACATGCCTGCTGAAGGTACATTTATCACATCTGTAATGGGAGCGCCGTATTTTTACCACTCAAACCCTAGTACACTGTGGCTGGTAAGTGATATGAACTTAGCAAACATTTGCTGCCAGGCATTGTGGCACATGGCTGTTATCCCAGCACGTAGAAGGCTGAGGCAAGAGGATTCCAAGTTCAGGGCCAGACTAAACTATATAGCAAGACCCTGGGTCAAACTTCAAACAAACAAACATCTGGTGAAAGAGCAAAAAAAAACAAAAACAAAAACAAACCCGAAACTATACATCCTAAAGAATGAACAGAAAGCAAAGGAAGAAACAATTATCCTAAAAGGGCTGTTGACCACTGTGAGAAGCTTGCAGATCAACCTCTCTTACCTGGCATACCAAGGAGGCCACCTGGCACAGACAGTTGGGGTGCCTGTGCAAAGTTTGAAAGCATGGAACGAGCAGAGGTGGGTATGCCACGCTGGAGGCTGCTCTGGGGCTGCGGAGCCTATAATATGAGAAGACAGAAGATAAAACTTTGTCAAGATGGAAGGTTAAGCAGGAGGCAGACACACTGAAGTATGAAAGAGAGCACAGTTCTCACAGAAGAAAGGACAAACTGGGATCCATGGTTGACAAACCAAGAGAAATCACGATTAGGGGAAAGTTCCTTACCTGCCGAAGTGTGTGATGTCTCATGATGGTCTCTTGTTTGCTGACACTGGACACAGCTGGAGCCGTAGTAGGAGAAAGCGCTGCCTGTTGCTGTAATCGCTGTTCAATTTCCTGTTGAGAATCATCAGATCAGGTTGGTCAGGACAACCAATTTCTTAGTCAGAAAGCCTAGAGGTCTTATGTCTAATACTGTTAGCTAGCTGGAGGGAGCTGGCTCTCAGAAAATGGCTAGACTAAGTTGGGTGCTGACAATGAGCTAATATAATTAACGGTGATGAACTGTGTTGAGGTTTTATTTAGTTTGTTGTCGTACTAGGGATTAAACCTAGGAAGCACTAAACTTCACTCCTGGCACCTTTTTGGTGAGGGGGGTTGGAGGGAAGTTCAAAAGTAGATTTTGCTGTGTAGTTCAGGCTGGCCTCGAATTTATGGTAATCTTCCTGCCTCAGGCTCCGATGTGCTGGGATTACAGGCATGTGCCACTGTGTCAGGCCAGCACTTTTTAATTTTTTTTTTCCTGAGACAGAATATTGCTATGTATTCCAGGCTGGCCTTGAATTCACTATGTAACCCAGTTTAGTTCTTTTTATTTTGAGACTATTTTGCTAAGTTATCCATACTGGCTAGGCTTAGATTTTTAATCCTCCTGCGTCAGCCTCCTGAGTAACTGCATTATAAGTGTGTGTCAATATACATGGAGCAGTTCTATTTTTAATGTTTGCCTATTTTCTAGAAGGTCCGTGGAACTACCCAAAAAAGAGCCTGAAAAGTGATGGAATGGTAAACTGAGATAGAAAAAAAGATCTAAATTTCCCAAGATATTTTTCTCTCTTCAAGACATCCTCATTTTTTAACTACTGGAGGAGACATTCACATATTGTAGCACACTATACTTCACTGAGCTACTTTATTTACTTAGTTATTTTAGTTCTTTTTGAGACAGGGTTTCATTATGCAGCAGTTTGAACTTTGAATTCACAGTGGCTTTGAATTCACAGTGACACTGAGCTACTTTACAATCTAGTCTTTCTCTGTCATTTTTTTTGTTAAGTATCAACTACAGGTAATTATTTCTCTCAAAAGACTTCTTGTGTGAATACTAATTCCTCTCACCAAAATTCATTTGAGTAGAAAATAAATTGAGACTAGAGGAATTCTTTCAGTGTTATTGAAAAATCAACTTTTTTTTTTTAGTTTCTTTTTTGAGACAGAGTCCCCCTTATAGTGCAGGATGGACTTGAAGTTACTATGTAATTAACCCAGGGTGGCCTCAAACTCATGGTGATTCTACCTCAGCCTCCCTAGTACTGGGATTACAGGTGTGAGACACACCACCCAGCAAAAAACCTAGAGTCCTGGGCCTCTATCCCTTTCTCCTAACTTCAGCCATATATGCTACTCTGTTTTTGTTTTCAGAAAAGGTCTCGATACATAGTTCAGGCAGGTCTTACATTCGCCATGATCGTTAGATTCCTGAATGCTGGGATCAAAGGAACCTGCTGCATCAGTAAGCACCACTGTTTTCATTCAATCGGAAATAATCAAGTAGAAATGGGAAAGACAACAATGAAGGAGGAAGAAAAATAACCTAGGCCTCCAGGTGCAGAGGTCTGAGAAGACCATGTAGTAGGTAACTCCTTGGATCTAAGAGCAACAACTCTTTGGTAAAACCAAACCCAAGAGGTAGCTGGAGAATAGAAGTCAGAATTCTTACCTGTTCCTGCTGTAGGGCTTTGACAAAAGCATTTTTCAGCCGGTTGGTGTGTTCAGCTTTCAGAGCTTTTTTCTGGTTGGAGGTCATACACTGTTCACACAGAATCTTACCATTCTTTTCTTGCTTCCAGTGAGGGGTGAAATCTGTGCGGCACTGGGCACATACAAAAGGTTCGACTCGCAGGAGTGAGGCACAGCTTTTGCCTACATGCCAAGAGAAAGAACTGTAAGTGGCTTCACATTTCCTAGCTCTTTTCTTTCTCTTCATTAAATAGATCTTTTCCAGGAGTTTCTTCTGCTGAATTAAGAGACTACCATAAGAACAAAAACTCTTATTATTTAAAAAAATATTTTTATTTGTATTTCATTTGATTGTAACAATATTACTATCATTTACATCCAGTAAACTATAAAGTTCCTTTAAATGACAAAACTAGAAACAAGAATTCACATTTTATGATTTCCTGCTGTATCACGATGAGAAAATACTGAGTCAACTCAGAATCAAAGGACTCCATCTAATTCAACTGGTATTTTTGCTTCTTATCATCTACTTTGCTCACATCACTCTTTATCCTCCCTCCACCCTTTTTTTTTTGGAGACAGTGTCTTACTATGTTGTCCAAACTGGCCTTGAACTCCCAGTGATCCTCCTGCCTCAGCCTCGAGTGACTGGATTATAACCGTGCACCACTACGCCTGACACTTTATTCCTTTTATGTAATTTTTCTCTTTCTTTCTTTCTCTTTTCTTTCTTTCTTTCTTTCTCTCATCTGTCTCTCTCTCCTTCCTTCCTCTCCCCCCCTTTCTTTCTGGTACTGGGGATTGAGGTCATGACCTTGAGTTTGCCAAGCAGGCACTTCTGCCACTGAGCTAAGCCCCTGGCCCCCTCCTTTTATATACAACTTTCAGTTATCATTCTGTCACTCTGAGATCTTTCTATAGCCAAGAGTGTTCCTTCTATTGTACAGTGTTCCTATGGAACACATTTCAGTATGTTTGGAAATTTTAGTGCAGTATCATCTTCTTTTTTTTTGGTGGTACTGGGAATTGTGCTTGCCTGGCATGCGCTGTGCTACTGGGCTGTATTCCTGACTCCTTTAATACTTTCTTTTATTATTCATAGTTTGATTCAGTATTGCTTCAAGCTATAAATTATCATCATTTTTAGTTATCCATAGGTATCAGTATGCATATTTTCTCTATAGCACTCACAGTGCAGGAACTAAAAATGGCAATTCAACACAGCCAGGTATGGTGGCACATACCTATAATCACACCACTTGGGAGGCTGAGGCAGGAGGATCTCTATGAGTTCAAGGCCAGCCTGAACTACATAGAGAGATCTCTGTTTCAAAAAAAGATTTTTTAAAAGTTTTATTCATCAAATTATATATGCATCAGCGTAGCCACCTTTTTTTGGCTTTAATGTGGTGCTAGGTATGGAACCCAAGGTCTTGAACATGCTAGAAACATTTTTTTTTTATTGGTACCAGGGATCAAACACATGACCGCTTGCTTGCAAGGCAGGTGCTTATGCTGCTGAGCTAAATCCTCAGCCCCATTAGAAACATTTTTTACCACTGAGTTACATCCCCAGTTCACCTAGGCACCATTTAAAAGAACAATAAACTGAAAAAATACACACAGACTGCACAGACAGAGTTGTCTCATCCCCCAAACCGACTGAACCCATGGAACACTAAACTACATCTCCAGCCCATTTTATTTTTTTGAGACAGTGTTTTTGCTAAATTGGCCTCAAACTTAAGATTCTTCTGCCTCAGACGCTCACGTAGCTAGGATTTTAGTTATGTACCCCCATACTTGGTTACAAAACTAATACACTCTTTCCAAACTGCCTAGAAATAAACACTGGCAGTACTAAGAGGGTATTTAAAGCCACATTATACTCTGTGATACTCAGCCCATATCAATCACATCTTGGCACTCTCTAGTTCAAGAACTAGTTACCAAACCAAGCATAGCAGCAGCATAAATCTATTGCCAGCACTCAGGAGGATGACACAGGAAGACTGTTGTAGGTCTGAGGCCAGACTGAACTACACAGTGAGTTCAAAGCCAGGCTGAATTACATAGCAAAATCCTATTTCAAAAAACAAAATGAAAAACCCTAAAAACTAATCTTACCTTGGCTGTCAATGACACTCTGCACGACCTCTTCCAAGCCTACCATGTAGATGAACTCGCTGTTAGCTGCACTGGGCAGAAAGTGAAGCAAGGGAGCAGGTGGCTTTGGAGGTGGGATCTCCAGAAGCGTCTTTTCCAACTGCTTGCGAAGAGCTAATTTGGCTGCAGCTTGTGAGTTGGCAGCATCAGTCATGGCGCTGGGGCTAGGGAGTGGTGAGGACACTCTGTTCACGGTTCCTGGCTGGATATGTGAGGCAAGGTTCATGTAGATGGCAGAGGATGTTGTGCGCTGACAGGGAACGGAAGAACTTGACTGCTGAAACAGATTGAGAATAGGTGTCAGTCATAGCTTATCTATAGCGAAAGACTAATTCTTGTTTTTTAGTACAGGACATGATCCAAGCCCAATCTGAACTACTTAGCTTCCACAAAATAGGGTGTATCCAACTTACTCACTGAAAGAGAACTCTGACACACAAGAAAAAAGAATGAGCTGGAACTGTTAAGAGGAAGAAAAAAAAAAAAAAAAAAACCCAACCCAAAACAGTGGGGATTCTTTCTGTTACATATCCTTATGCTTCCATTTTTGGAATGTTCTCTATTTCAAGCTTCATTCAAAGTTGGGTGCAATGGCACAGGCTTGGAACCCCAGAACTTGGGAGGCAGAAACAGGCAGATAGCAAATTTGAGACCCATTCTCAAAAAACATAACAAAGGGCCAGGGATATACCTCAGCAGCACAGCGCCTGTCACAAGTGCCAGGTCCTTAATTCAGTCCTCGGTATCAAAAACAAAACAAAGCAACCAAATCCAACTAAACCAAAACAATCAAAACCCAAACAAAACAAAATAATAAAAAAACCAAAAACTCTAGCTAGGTGTGATGGCACATGCTTATAACCCCAGCACAAGGGCGACTGAGGCAGGATTGCTGGGAGTTTAAGGCCAGTGTTAGCTACATCATCAGTTCAAGGACTACATGGTTAGTTTAAGGACTACACGAGAGATCTTGTTTCCAAAATATCAGCAAGCAAAGCAAAACAAAAAACAACCTCCACCCCCGAAAACAACAATAATAAATCTCCAATCCAAAACATCCACTGTCCTAGTTTCTCTATACACAAAAACTTAAAAAACTTTTGGCCCTTTTAACAAGAAAAACAAATAAAGAATTTCTCTTTTTCCACATTAGTGGTCTCTCTTACTGGCTGGTAATTGATGGCAGGATTCATGTTGGGTGTTGTGGTGCGTACGAGGCCAGGCTTAGGTGGGCCCCGCTGACCCTGTAGCTGGGCTGGATTTGGTGCAATAACACGTTGAGACATCAACATGTGTGGGAGGGTGGTACTGGTTGCTGAACGAATGACACTGTGACCCTGAAGAGGAAAAAGAGGGGAAAAAACTAGTCACCAGTGGTATAATGCTATGTAAAATGCAAAAAGGGAAAATACTGCTTATAATTAATACATAGCTAAGTAGAAACACTAGAACACAGACTTTGTCATTTTGTCTGATAAGCTATTAGATAAACCTACCATCATTCTAAATGTTGACTAGTAGCTAGAAAATCCCTGGCCTTTTTGATATATGCCAAGGGTGAACCTATGGCATGTGTGTGTAACAAGCTCACTGTTATCACTGAAAGCTCTAAAAGGTTCACCATGATTGGTAAAAGATAACCCTTCTCTAGAGAATCTAGAAATCTTCTCTAGAGAAGAAAAAGTATAATGGGCAGATGAAGGTTATTAATTTTGCTACTGCAGACCATATCATGCAATGAAGGACTAGTAACAGCACTTTTATTATGGCTAGGTTCTTCTACACTCTTCACAAAAGCCTCCAGGCAGACACAGGAGAGACAGAGCCTTTGAACATTATAATCCTAGTATAGATCACATACCTGCAATGTTCTCAAATTTTGAGGCTCAACTCCTTGGGCTCCAGGCCGGGATGGAAGCTTGGATAAACCCTGCTGGCCAACATGGGCAGGAGATGGCTGAACAATAGATGCCGCATTCTGTACAACTGGAGTCTAGGAGAAGGAAGGTAAAATTAGACTGTAGAACAGGCAAATAACTAAAAGTGGACTTCAGTATCAGTGAGAATCTCCTGTTGACCAGGAGGAAAAGGAGAAAAACGTGATTAAGGTATTCTTGATTAAGGCCTAAGATTTATGGGGAAAAAAAAAAACAAAGAAAAATTGGCCAGACATAGTGGCACACATCTGTAATCCAAACACTTAGGAGGCTAAGGCAGGAGGACTGCCATGAGTTCAAGGCCAGCCTGGACAACACAGCAAGGCCCTGTTTTTTAAATCAGGTTATAAAAATCAAACCAAACCAAACAGAACGTGCTTCCCCCTCCCCCACAAAAAAGGCAAAGCAAAACAAAATAACTCCCCAAAACACAATACTTCTGGAAAACAAAAAACTATGAAACCAGAGAAAAATGAGCCACAAAGCTGAATCTACCTGGGGCAGCCTCTCTAAGACCAGTTTTATTTCTTTTCCCCTAGTCTTTTATTTCTAGAGCACATTACCTTTTGGACCACATTCTCTTTTTGTAGTTGACTCTGTCTGAGTTTCTTCAATAGCACCAGTCGAGCTTCTTCCAATCGCAGCTCGTCCCTCAGCTGCTTGATAAGCTGCTGTCTTTCCTCAATGCCTTTGCCCTAAGGAAACATAGAGACCATCAAGTACAGTAGCAACACATATGCAGAATCCTTTGCTGAGAGAGATCATCTATACTTTTTTAGGTCTAACCTTCAACATCCATAAAAAGTGACACAAAGCCTGGCAGTCAACAGATACTCAAAAAGTGCTTATCAAATGGAGAGACCACATATAAATGCTACTCAGATTTTTAATGAAACAGAATGACCAAAAAAAAAAAAAAAAAAAAAAAAAAAAAGCCACATTTGGGGGTGGGGTGTGTGTGTGTGTGTGTGTGTGTCTCTTGGGGGTGGGGGTGTGTGTATTATATATTGAGTCTACCAAAAAAAATCCATACACATTTCATGAAAACTAGTAGGCTTGGCTCTTACAGAAGAAACTGCAAATATATATGCAGCAATCTCAATACCCAAGGTTACCCAAGCAGTCATCTGCCACAATAATAAATATCTAGAAGCTAACAGCCCACCACTTTGAGCATCTCTTACAATTGTAGAGGCCAAAGATAATTTGTATTAATTTCAGGGTGTCTCAATAAATTTAGTATTCAAATAATTACACATGGTTTTCTTTTCCTGAAGTGTGTATACATTTTTTGGTGGACTGTGTATATACGTACACACACAGTAATGTACGACATGATGTATTTTTTAAAATTTTAGAGAAAAAAAAATTTCTAAACAAAAAACAGAGGAGAGTTACAATGGTTATTACATATTTTTTTTTTGGTACTGGGGATCAAACTCATGACTTCACACTTGCCAGGCAGCCCTTGTGCCACTGAGCTAAATCCCCAGTCCCTACACTGCGTATTTTTATCTTTAGTTATTCAGAGTACAAGACATAGGCATTTAATTGTACAGGCAATGTTAGCACAAACCTTTCCAATGAACTAAGAGAAATTTAGTAGTATAACCATCTTAACTATCTCATACATACATATATATATATAATATATATAAAAATTATGTATACACACATATATATTTGCTTTTCTCTTCCTTCTTTTCCTTTTTCTGCATCCCAGGTTCTCTTTCTTTTGAATACTTTCTCCCCCATTTTACAATATTTAATATACACTTTGGATCTTACTCTTTCAGCTTCTCACAATAGGGAGACAATAGGATGCTACACATGTGAGTCTGGTTTATTTCACTTATGAGTACAGTCTCAATCTGCATCCATTTACCTATAGAAGTTTCAAGTTTACCCTTCTTTATGGCTAAGTAGTACTCTGTTGTATAAATAGATCATATCTTTTTTATCTATTCCTCACTTGATGGGTAATCTGGGTTGTTTCCAAGATCTTGCTATGACAAATTGCACTGCTATAAATGTGGGGACACATATATCACTGTGCTATGATGTTTTTAATTCTTCTGGGAAGATACCCAGAAAAGGAATAGCTGGGACCAATAGACCTCTAATCCTAATTTTTTGAGGAATCTGCAAATTGATTTCCATGGTGGTGGCACCAGTCTACACTCCTACCAACGGTGGAGAAGAGTATTTCTCCCCTGCCCCCAGTTCTCAGAGCATTTGTTATTGGTTGATTTCATGATGGCAGTCATTCCTTCTAGGGAGAGGTGGAATCTGTGTTGTTTTAATTTGCAACTCTTAAATGACCAGTGATATTTAACTTTTTTTCATGTTTATTTGTGTATATATATATTTTTAAAAAGAACCTATATTCTGAGGTAAGAGTCTAGATAAGAGTTACAGGGTATCCTTGTAGTTAAGAATTTACTTAATGTATCATGTATTCAGAGATGGGCTTAAAAAAAAAAAAAAGAATTTACTTAATGTGGTATATGAGTTGTAAGGCTGAACATAATTAGATTGACCATAACAGCTTTTATGTATGTGTTTTGTGGTGGTGGTTGTTTTTTGAGACACAGTCTCACTATGTTGCTCAGGCTGGCCTCAATCTATGTGCCTCCAAACTGTTGGAAGTATAGACATGCATTATCATGCCTGGCTTCCCAACATATGCATTTTTTCTTTTCCTTTTTGTTTTGTTTTGTTTAAGATCTGGTCTCGCTATGTAGTTCAGGCTGGCCTTGAACTTACTATGTGGCCCAGGCTGGCCTCAAAGTCATGTGGATCCTCTTGCCTCAGCCTCCCATGTGTGAGTGCTGGGTGGTGAGTAGCCACTATGACTGGCTAATAGGTCCTTTTAAAAAGGCAAAGTTTTGAAATTGAGAATCACTAAAGACTCTTCACTGATAGGTAGTTACAAAAAGCAAATAGTTGAAAACTAAGTTTTAAAAAAACAAGCAAACTAAAAAAACAATACTATGGCTGGTGAGAAATTAAAGAAAATGGAACATAAATGCAGGTGTTTTACCTTGAACATCTCCAGGTTGGCTGCTTTGAGTCTTTCTTCCATTCGGGAGCTGGAACGAGGACTGGAAGCCTCATTGTCAGACAAAACAATGATGTCTGGAGAAGGAGTTAGCCTTCCTCGATCTGGCTCACTAGACAAGAAAAATAAAAGTTACTATTTCCAACAATAAGGCTCATAAAGAGTGGTTTTTTTTTTTTTGTCTTTTTGAAACAGGGTTTCACTGTGCAGTACAGACTGGCCTTGAACTCACTTTGTAGCCAAGGCTGGCCTCAAATTCAATGAGCCTCCTGCTTCAGCCTCCTGAATGCTGGATTACAAGTGTGCACCACCATGCCTGGCCTGTTTTTTTCCCTCTGTGCTGAACTTTTGGTCTGTTTTGATTCACCCAGAAAAAGACAAACACTCAAGTCTTATGATATAGACACCAATATCTGATAGCAAAGCCAGGTGTGGTGGCACATGCCTGTAGTTCCAGCACTCTGGGAAGCTGAGGCAGGAGATCACTGAGAGTTCAAGACCAACCTGTGCTACAAAGTGAGCTCAAGGCCAGCCTGAATTGCACAGCAAGACTTGTCTGAAAGAAAGAAACAAAGGAAGGAAGGAAGGAAGGAAGGAAGGAAGGAAGAAAGAAAGAAAGAAAGAAATCTGGTAGCAAAACCTCAGCAAGATACTCTCCTAAAGTCCTTACAAAATAAACAGGCATAAATACATAAAAAGATGAGTATTTTTAATCACAAAAATTTTTATTTTGTATCTCCACTGTATTGTCATGATGTGAAGGCTTGGAAAGGAAATAACTAGTTCTACAAGAGACAGAGCAAAAGCAGTAGAGCTTAGTTACCATGAAGAGGTACCTCATTACAACAACAGTAATATGGTCCTAGCCACGCATGGTGACAAACACCTGTGATCCATCCCAGCACTTGGAGGCTCAGGCAAAAGGACTGCCAAGAGTTCAAGGCCAGCCTGCACTACACAAGCAAGTTCAAGGCCAGTCTGGACTACACAGTGAGACTTTCTTAAAACAAACAAAATCAACAATAATAATAATCAAATAAAGGTCTTTATCTGAATTTTTTAGAAAAGAGACTGTGTGATAACTGCTATGACAGTCTAGCTTGTTGAGAGCAGATACTAAAGAGTAGCAAGCAAAAGAAACTACTGTAAGTGACTTAAAGAAATGGACAATGCCAGTTATAAAGAGTCAGCTACAGCTTCCGAAGGATTAAACCTTCAGAACATATATTTAAGTCGGATCAATTTACCAGAATAGTGGGGTTTCTTTTTGGCAGTACTAGGGATTGAACCCAGGACCTTGCATTAAACTATATTCTTAGCCCTTTTTAATTTTTTTACTTTCTTTCTTTTTTTTTTAAATGGGTACTGAGGGTTGAACTCACAACCTTGCACTTACCAGGCAGGTGCTTACACCACTGAGCTAAATCCCCAGCCCCTTTTTAAATTTTTTATTCTGTGAGGGTCTTGTGAAGTTGTGCAAGCTGGGCTTCAACTTTTGAGCTTCCTGCTTTAGCATTCTGAGGAGCTGAGATTACAGGTGTACACTACCATGCCTGGTAATTTGCAATTTTTATCTTATAGTTTCCCTCAAAAGACACTGCTCAGAAATTACTCTGACATTAGTCAGGCACCATGGTGCACACCTGTAATCCCAGCACTCAGGAGGCTACACATTGAGTTCATTGCCAGCCTGAACTATACACCAAAACCCTGTCTCAAGAAAATTTACTTTGACATCTGAATCTCCCACTGACTCCTCTTATTTCTTAATCTATTCAATAAATAACCCTTATTTTGGCATTTTTCAGGCTAGCTTTGTTTCTGCAATGTAAATGAATCCCAGAAACTATCTCAGGTTCTCAAACCAATGATTATTTCACATCTCTCCTCTGATTTGTGTAATTTTTTTTTTTTTTTAAATCCTGTAGTCTAGGCTGTCCTGGAACTTGTGGCAATCCTCCTGCCGAGCCCTTCTGAGTGCTGGGATTACAGGCATGTGCCACCACATGTGGCTGTTTTTATTGTTTGAATCAGGGTCTCATTACGTAGTTCAAGCTGGCTTGGAACTCATGGTGGTTTTCCTGAGTGCTGGAGTTATAAGCATGAGCTCACTGATTTCAAAGATACTTTCCCAGATCATCTTTTTTGGAGGCTATATGTCTAGGGTAGTATTTTCTTCAATCTTCATTGATGTGTAATTAAAAATTTTAATGTTCACAGATCATTACTCACAAGAGCTTATCTACCATTTCTCATAATTTCTTACCCTAGTTGCTTTTGGTATACAGAGGATGTTTTGTCATTTTTGGTGGTGTTAGGATGGAACCCAGGTCCTTGTGCAGGGTAGGCAAGCACTCTACCAAAGAGCTAAATCCTCAACCCATGAAAATCTTTTGATCAAGCCATCCCTGATATTTGGGTTAGGCACTTAATTTCTCAACATGGTAAAGCATGGTAAATCACTCAAGTTGAGCTGAGGAAACAGAATAAGGGGACTGACTGTCCCATTAACTTTGTCAGCGATGCTGTACAACCACTGGCCACAGGTATAGCAAATAAACAATGCATAGTTACACAAAAAGAAGCCACTAGAGGGAGAAGAGAGCCTTCTATTCTGTAACCCTAAATTCCTGGAATAATGGTCAGGCCCAAACCAAGTGTTTCAATTCATTTTTGTGTGTGTTATTTGTATATGTATTCCTTCATACGCTTATCCCTAGGGTTAACATGGGTGAAAAATTTTAAAGTCTGGAAAACTTGCCATTTTCTCCTTGACTCACCAGTGTTTGCGTTACTATCAGAGGCTCCCTCCCCCTTTTTGAGATAGAATCTTATCATGTTAGCCAGGTTAGTCTCAAACTCATACTCTTGGGCAATTCTCTAATCTCAATTTCTGGAACAGCTGGGACTATAGGCATGTATCAATGTACTCAGCTCAGAAGATTTAGAAATTCTATTACTGAGTTGATTACATGTATTACCAAAGACTGACTCTAAGGTAATAAAATACCTCCATGTTCATATTAGTGCCATTTCCTACTTAGGAACTGCTCAGTACTAAGAGAAGTGGAGACATTTGAGATTTTGGAACTGTATGATATTATCATGAAGATTCATCTGGGAACAACTTTAAATGATATTTTATTCCCAGATACATTCAGATTCACATTACATAGATAAGGCAAAAGCCTAAGTCGAATCCTACTCCAAAACTTTCAACTTCTGATGAGGAATGAAAAACACTCAAGAGACAGAAGTTACAAGGGTTGGGGATTTAGTTCCGCGGCATAAGCGCCTGCCTTGCAAGCACGTGGTCATGAGTTCAATCCCTGGCACCGGTAAAAAACAAAGAAAAAAAGAAAGAGAAGTACTTACTTTGCTCCTTTTCTAAACATACATGGATTTACAGTATTTAGGATTCAAAAGTATGAAACCTTCCCTATTAGATAGGCTCTCACTATGCACATGCAGTTCAGGCTGGGAACTGCTGGTCTTGAACTCACTTTGTAGCCTAGGCTGGCCTTGAACTCACAGCGATCCTCTAGCCTCAGCCTCCTAATGCTGGCATTACAGGCATGAGCCACCACACCCAGCTCTATTAAAGATTGTTAAAAACCCAATTTACTGTTGACATCGTTTGTGACTCAGTCTGGCATGTTCTCAGAAGCTGTCACTTTGAGACTGTATCCGATTAGTAGAAACAACTGAATAGAAAGAGAAATGCTATGTTTCTCTAGCATTCCAAACTGCTAGGATTGGTTTCATAAATATATTACAGATATTGTAACTAGCCCAACTTGAGGCCAAAATACAATACTTGGGAAATTCTGACAATGGCTCTCATACTAAAAACTTCATCTTCCTTCTGCTTCCAACTTTTTTCTTTCTTTTATCTCAGGGAACCATGGGTCTACTAACCGGGAGTCTACTAATCTTGTTCGTTCTTACAAAACAGCTTGGTTTCAAGTGGTAAAAGGTGTGAGCATCCTAGTGTCTTGGCTTCTAGAGGCTTATGCTTCAAAAGTGCATCAGCAGTGCCTGCCTGGCAAGCACAACGTCCTGAGTTTAACACATGCCGGGCAAGCGCAAGGTCCTGAGTTAAATTCCTGGTACCAAATAAATAAATAAATACACACACTGACGGGGGTTCACAACAGTCTGGCCTTATTCGGTACACAGTGCTGGCTCTCAAATATAGGGTCTGTCACAGGTTAAAGCAAGCACTCTAAAACTAAGCAACTTCATCTGTCTTCCTTTTACCACAATTCAGCAATATTTCAAAAGCACAGAGGTCTTTCCAGAATGCCCAACAATGTATCTATGAAAAGTAAGTGCACTTATGGTCCAATTTCACCTTTTCTTCCTTCCTCCAAAATGCAGGTTCTATAATTTGCTCCAGAAGGACAAGGATAGCTATGGAGCAAGTGGATTGCTCAGATGCATTCATTCACCAATTCATTTTCTTCCAATGGATCTAAGGATGTCTATTTACATGCTGTTCTGCTGAAAACTACCTATTGGGTCCAAGGAATTTTTATTTTCTTCCAGGACCACTGCAGAATTTACCTGAATTTTATTCTTTTTTTTTAAAAAACACAGGATAGGGGCCAGGCATTTAGCTCACAAGTGCCTGCCTGGTAAGCGCGAAGTCCTCAGTTTGATCCTGGGTACCCCCCCAAAAAAAAGAAAAAAGAAAAGACAGGATATTGGGCTAGGGACAAGGCTCAATAGTAGAGCTCTTGCCTTGCATGCATGAGGCCCTGGGTTCAATACCAGCACCCCATACACACTCTTTCCTTCTCCATTAGCTTAGCTTCTTCAGCATTCTTCTTTGGCTCAGCCTTGGGATAAAGTAAGATCAGCTGCTGGGTGGGACCTATACTGTGATTCACTGACCAATCTTTCTAAACTCTTAGCCAGTTCCATGCACCTTAGTGTGTGTATCACTGTTTTAAATACAGTGCTTGAAATTGATAAGATACTTTTAAAAGGCCTGGGAAAATGCATGTGTGCATGTATGCATGACTAGGAATGAATATACACATATTGTAAGGACTGGTGGAAATGGCAGGGAAAAATATGAATTTAGAGACCATACCACATCAAGATATTCTGATACAAAAAGTCAGGCTAATTCTTTGATGTAATAAAAAACAAACTCTACAGTATATGGATCCTAAAACTTCTAGAATGATTTGAAGCAAAGACTGTGTTTCCTCCCCTAAGATTAGGGTGAATGCATATACTAATTGGACCACTCGTCCCCTAGTGCCCCTTTTTCCAGCAATAATGATCTTAAGGTAGATCTTGTAATTCTTAATATGCTAAGCAAATTGGAAGTATGCAGTTTTATTTAGAAAGAAGAATAATTTGTTAAGTCACATGTTACAGACATGTCTTCTTCAAGAAGTTTTAGGATGAAAAACACTTTCCTCTCACTGGAATTAATTCCATTCTCATAGGCTTAGTCTATGACAAGACATCCCTGGAGGCTATCAACTTGAACCATACCTCCGTCTAGCACTCATATCCACTGGTTCATCACTGATGTTTTCTTTGCCTGGCCTTCCAGCAGTCCTGTTGTCTCCATGAGGCCTGAGATTCCCATTCAGTTTCTCTTCATAACCCTTAACTCCACTGCCATCCTGTTTGGTGGGTAACTCATGTGGCACCTCAAGATTTGCCAAATCCTTCCTTTTGAGCAGTGCCAACATTTTTAGACGTTCCATGGCCTCATGTCCCTCCATTTTAAGCCGTTTTGCCAGCACGTCATCTCGTTCATCTGCTGGGTCCAAGCTCCTTTTCAACAGATTCAGACGAAGAGCATCTTCTGTCATTCTATCCATCCTGTGAGAGTAATATAAATGAAATATGAATGAAGTCCCTTTAAAAGTCCATAGGAAAGACAGCAAAGGGATAAAAAAGTTATCAAGAAAAATCCTGTTAAAAAAAAAAAAGAAAAAAGAAAAATCCTGTAGCTGGGCTCATGGAGGTACACACCTGTAATCCCAGCACTTGGGGGGCTGAGGCAGGAAGATCACTGTTAGTCTGCGGCCAGCCTTGGCTAAATACAGTGGTACTTCAGTTCAGGAATGCTTCTGTTTGCAAACAATTTAGTTTGCAAATAGAAGCGTGTGTGTGACAAAATTCTGTTTTTGTTTGCAAAAACTCTGCACCAGGTGATGAACACAACTTGGACCATCTTTTCCAGAATTTTTTTTTTTTTTTTTTTTTTTGGTCTTTTTCGTTTTTATCAGTACCAGGGATCGAACTTACGACTGCCTGCTTGCAAGGCAGGCACTTATGCCGCTGAGCTAAATCCCCAGCCAGCCCCCTTTTCCAGAATCTTGAAAAGAACTGTTTGTGAACTAAGGTACTACTGTTGTGAATTCAAGGCCAGCCTGTACTACATATTGAGATCCTGTCTCAAAGAAACAAATAAAAACAATCATTTTATTAACTCCCCCAAATTAACTGAGCTAACCTTCCAAACTTTACTGTTTTAAACCAGGCATAGTGGGGAGGGTTAGGCAGGAGGATTGCTTCAAGTTCAAGACAGCCTGGGCTACAAAGAGGACTCAAGCCCAGCCTGAACTGCAAAATGAGAGCCTGTCTCAAAAAGTTAAAAAAAAAAAAACAAAAAAACCTTATTGTTCTAGAACATTTGTATTAAAGGAGATTTATTCTGTCAACCTCAGCAATAAAAGTGAATTCCGAATACATTCTAGTCATCAACGTTACTATAAAAGAGTAAACCCTACTCTAACCAGTATGGTCGATTAGATACTATGTCCCTCAAAAAAACCAAACATTTAAAGTGACTGTACATGCATCCTCAAAGTTAAATGCTTTTGTTTTAGCTCTTATACCAAATCCTTCTCCTGGGAAAGAGTCTTCTGTGACTGGGAAGTTTCTTAGGTCATTCAAGCATATCAATATTTGGCTTATGAGTGGAGAAATACAAGACAAAATCAGAAAAAGAGCAATTATTATGAAGCCTCAGTTGTAAGATATTACTGAAAAGCCTGTTGTCTGTTCTCAATTTTATAGACATAGATTCAAAATCTCCTATGGAGTTATTCTTTTTTTTTTTTTTTAATTGAAACAGGGTCTCACTATGCAGTTCAGGCTGGCCTGGAGCTCACTTTGTAGCCCAGGCTGGTCTTGAACTCACAATGATCCTCCTGCCTCAACCTCCCAAGTGCTGGGATTACAGGTGTGCCCCACCACACCCGGCTATGTATTATTCTTAGTGAAGAACTGCTGTGGTTTATTCTGACAAAAATATTTTCTCTACTCATAGAGCAAAATTGTTAAAGGTGCTGGGATATAGTTCAACAGCACAAGTGCTTGCCTGGCCAAGTGCAAGGTCCTAAATTCAATTTCAGGTACAGAAAAAGACAAGCTAATCATTATTTTTTTTTTTTACACTAGTAGAATCTAGTAGATCTGAATTTTCTCCATCACCTTCAAATCTAAGGCTTTGTCCTGACAGAAAACAGTAGTGATTAACTGGAAGGAAATTTTTCTGAGTAATGATAACACAGATCACTTTACTGTCTAAAGCGTTACTTTTACCAGGTCATTGGGGGGGGGGGCGCAGAGAAAAGCCAGAACCCTAAACACTGAATTCGTCAATAATGTGTATTGTATTGCATTTACTTTGGTGCTGGGAAATGAAAGCAAAACCTCGTATTTACAAGGTAGGTGCTGTGCCACTGAGCTATATCCCCAGCCTTTATTTCTTTTTTTAAGAATAACTTTAGTAAGAAGCTTTATGAAGATGTTGTCCACTTACACAATTTACCTATTTAGAGAATACAATTTGGGGGCCACAGATATAGTTCAGTGGATAAGAGTGCTTATATAGCTTACATGAGGTCTTGGGGCTTGAGCGCTAGTGAGCATATATGTGCATGCACCCACACACTAAAGATTTAAAGTATATGATTCAGGGAATCAGGGGAAAGGGAAAAGACAAAAGAAAGGAGTAATGGCTTATGTGCATGTATCAATTTCCCAAAACAAACATCAATATTGTTTTACAAGTATGTGCTAATAAAAAATTCACTTTGCGCATTAGTTTTGACAATACCTATGTAAGTATATAATTTGAAGTTTTTAGCACAAATTTAATTTAGTATAGTTTACATTTATCATCACAGTTTTTAAAACTCTTTATCACAACCTGCCCTTTCCATCTCTATACATCAGTCTCTGGTTCCCACCTTTAGCTCTAAGAAACCACAAGTTTACTTTCTATGTCTACATTCAACTACCCTGGAATCTACAGAAATGGAATCCTATAAGTGGTCCTTCCTGGGTGGCTTCCTTCACTCAGCATTAAGTTTTTAAGGTTTATTCATGTTGTTAGCACATACACACAGTCCTATCCCCAACTCTGGAGCACTACCTCCATAGTAACAATGTCTTAGTAATTCAATCAACACTACACACTGAAGGTATAACTAAAAATAGCATAGAGAATTACAAGGGATGAGAAAAGTCTGCCATTATCTGATTTAGAAAGGCACTGTCTTACTTTTTTCATTGATGACATAAAGTACCGACACTGCAAGTTAAAGGAGGAAAGGTTTATTGTAAGTTGTGGTTTGTAGAGATTTCAGTTCATAGTCAGGCGGCTCCAAGACAGTGAATAGAAAGGAGCATCACAGAGGAAGAATAGTTTGTGACAGAAAAGCAGCAGCAGCAAGCGATGCCAACAGCTCTCTTTCTGTCTCTTGTGTTCCATCCAGGCTACCTGCCCCTTTGGTGGTACCACCCCACCCAGGGTGGGCCTTCCCACTTTGCACACCCAGAACTAAACAGAAACTAATCAATGGACTAACTTAGTAATCACACACCCTTTATTCTAGCATTGCACAGCCTAGATCCAGCAACCTCTGGAAAGCCCCACCCATAACCAGATGAGAGTTTGGGGGGCATCTAACCACAAGCCATAATAGGCACACAGTAAGATTTATTAGTGTAAATTAATATACTAGTGTTCTAAATTTTGCCATGAATTACGTTCATAAGCATAGGAACTATATGATAAAACAATAAAACAAATAGCAAGGCTGGACTGGAGTTTGGGATGCTATCATTATACTGACTTCATGAAAGGAGTTAAATGAGCTGAAAACAGCTCACAAAAACAGCTGAAAGCAGTTCAAGTCATTTGCTTTTACTACACTCAAATGACACAAGAAAGGGCTAGGCACAGTGGTGCACACCTATAATCCCAGCATTCAAGGGGCTGAGGCAGGAGGATCATTGTGAGTTCAAGACCAGCCTGGGCTACATAAATGAATTCAAGGTCAGCTTGCACTACACGGCAAGACCATGTCTCGAAAAAAGTAAATAAAAATAAAAACTATACAAAGAGGAAGCTGACACTGCAAAGTTGAGAAAAACTTGCACTAGATACTTGATTGTCTGAGGAAAACTTTTCCAACAGACAGTTTAAAAGCACTGACCAATCTGTCCATGACTACTCTAGTCTTTCTGATTTTAAAGCTTAATGTTATGCACTTAGCTAAGTCTGGCTCAAAATCCAATGTAACATGGACGAACTTTGAAATCATTATAACAAGAAAGTGTATCAGACACAGAAGGACATTAAATATTGTATGAATTTACTTGTATGAGGTACCTAGAAACAAAGAAGTAGGATAAAAGTTATAAGCTGCTGGGGGTAGTGAACAGAGAATAAGGAGTCACTGTTTCATGGAAAAAGAATCTCAGAGCAAAACCCTTCCTGGAAATGGACAGTGGTGATAGTTGCTCCACACAGTGAAGGTTTTTTAAAACACTGAACTGTACCCATACAGAGTTTAAATAGTAAGTAATTTTTTGCTACATACATTTACCACAATAAAGTCTTTTTAAAAATCTAAGCCAAACCAGAGTGGCACACATCTATAATCCCAGCACTTAGAAGACTGCGGCAGAAGGATCACCACAAGTTCAAGGCTAGCCTGAGCTGCAAAGTGAGTTCAAGACCAGCCTGAACCATAGTGAAACCCTGCCTCAAAAAACACTAAAATAAATACATAAATAAATAAAAAATCCAAGTCAAACATGGTGTCTCACACCTAGAACCCCAGCACTCAGAGGCAGCTGAGGCAAGAGTAGTGCCAGAGTCTGAAGCCAATCACCTCTGCAAACCTGTTTATACACCTCACCTACCAAACATAACTTAGCACCACCGTACACTGTAGCATACTGAACGTTCGCCTTGTGATGATGTAATTGGTTGGGAGCCATGGTTTGCTGCTCAGTGCAACAGCATGACTATCACCAGATTGCACATCATTAGCCTGAGAAAAGATGAAATTATTAGTAGTATTGTTGTTTGGAGACTAGTTCAGGCTGGCCTCAAACTTGTGATTTTCCTGCCTGTCTCTGAGTGCTAACACAGTGTGTGCCACCATGCCCAGCTCCAAAGATCAAACCTGTCAAGCTGTATCACCAGTCCATTTTAATTTGTTTGAGACAAGGCCCCATCAAGTTTCCCAACCTGGCTTTGAATTTGTACTCTTTCTGACTCAGCAACCCAAAACAGCGGAGATTATAGGTATGTGTCACTGTATTTGGCTAAAATTTAAAGCTGGAAGTGTGGTTTTTATTAAATGTGTATTTTTTTCATATCACCACATAAGGTTAAAACATCCTGAGCTGAACTATTGTAAGTTACAACCATCTGTATTCTTTTTTTCATTATTTCAGGAAAGAGGACTCAGTGTACTGCAAGGCAAAGCAGAAGCCTGGGATTCATCCTTGACTTTCTGTGACTCAAAATTCTAGGTCACTAAGCCCTATCAATTGTATTTTCTTCCTGTGAA